AGGCCGAGCCCCTGTTCACGTCCGGCTGTCCCATGTCCCCCGTTACGTCGAGCTCCATCCACGTCAGGCCAAGCCCAGGCAAAGGGTTGCCGTGCTTCTTGTTCCTGTTGTCCGGCGAGCGAGGGTCGCCGTCGCTTTTGTTCCTGCTCCCTGGCGAGGCGAAGGTCGCCGTCGCTTTTGTTCCTGTTCTCCGGCGAGCCGAAGGTCGCCGTCACTTTTACTTCCCGTTCCCCGGCGAGGCAAGCCTTTTGGACCACTTTGGGACGTCTGGGATCCGTCCCTTGAGGGAGGGGTACTGTCATGATTCGATTTGGGACCAACAGGTGGCACTGTAGGGCTCCCCCTGCAGCTGCACACCTGTTGGTCATTAGGTAATGTTAGAGGAATCTATGAGCAAAATTGTATCATGTTTAAAGTTTCATTTAATTTGGGCACATCTAAACGGTTGGGTGCGTATCCAGCACCCCCAAATGCCTGTGCACAAAGGCGCCGGCCACCTGGCCGGAGGGCTGTTGAAGTCCACAATTAGCACGTCAATGCAGGTGGGCAATCACAGGGGAGAGGGCGAAACTCGGTCACACAAGGGGAATGAATAATTTGGGAACAGCGGTTGAACAACAAAAGACGAGTTGAGAACACCCGTCGCGCCCAGGCGACATTTGTCGTCCGCGAAGTCTGCAACATGTTGATACAGTGTAGACCAGACAGAAAGGCGCCAATGTATTGGTGGTTCAAAGCTTAAACTCAGGTAACCAATCACTACCGAGGGGCCGGACCGGGGGTGCGGTATGCAAATGTCGGGGGCAGTGTTTTCCTTGTATGTTACAATAAAAGTCGGAATTGGCGGGAAGGAAGCTCGAGAGTGTGATCATCGGAGCAACTACCGTCGTTCGCTCTCAGAGATCCGCTCCCGCCGATATTGAAGACAATTTTCCTGTGTGCCGAGTCATTTCTTTAACTTTGTCCGAGAAAATCTCTGACAGGTAATTAGTTCTATAAAAGGACTCCCGCCTGAACACTCATTGTTGGGTCATTGTTACTCTTTGCTGCTGTCATGTTTGTTTGTTTGTCATGTTTAGGTCATGTTTTTGGTCATGTTTCTGTTATTGATAGTTTTGAGCTTCAGTCATGGTTTTTGTTTGATACTTTGGACTTTATTTGTTTAGGATTTAATTTTCTGTGTTTTATCAATACACTTCTTCAAAAACACCCTGCTCCTCACTCTTGCCTGCTTTTTGGGGTCCACCACGCAACGTGACACCTGTTCCCCATACAACAAAAAAAAACCCTGTTGCGTTATACGAAATCTTTTTCTCTGCTCTTGCCTCGCGAAGAGATTCACTACAACAAAGTCTAATCCAACAGCGACCTCTACTGCTTCGTTCAGAAGCGGCAACAGAAACCACCACACTGGTTTACACAGCTCAGAGTTTCCTGAATG